TTAGATTTGGCATCAAATTTGTCCAAGTTCTCCTTCTCCTTCTTCTTATTGTTGTATACTTGTTTTCGAACACATGAAGATGAGCAAGATTTGGCTTTCTACCCTTGTACAGTTCATAAAGGGTCTTGTTGAGCTTTGGTTTGACATAAGTTCTATTAATAATGTAGCTTGCTATGCTCATTACATCTACCTAGAAAACTTGAGACACTCCATTGCCCATTGTCTAGCCACTTAGTAAGCACTTGATTCTTCCTTTTAACAACTCCATTTTGTTGAGAAGCTCTTCGAGCTCAGAAGTTGTGGCTAATCCCATTTTTTTTCAAATACTTAACTTAAAAAGAATCTCAAGAGAATTTAATTTAGAAAGATTAAGAGATTAATGGCTATATTATTAGAATAGTGAGGGCTATATCAATAAAGAGTAACAAGGTCAGAGTATAATGCAATTAAAACCAATTTACCCTTAAATGCTATAAATTCTATAAATTTATCTTGTTAAACAAATTTTCTCTCATTTTGTGATCATCAAAATCAATATTCAACAAAAATGACAGAAAAGTATAAAAAATAACAAAAAAATTACATATAAGGAAAAAAATTACAAAAAAAGGACCAAATAAATTTTCATGATCCTTTTCTATATGTTATGAGGTCCTTTTTTTTCAATTTTTTGTCAATTAATAGTAAAAGTCAACATTTGTTAACTAAAAGGGCCATTTGGTACTTTTTTGATGAAAGGTGAAAAGGAAAAATATACTAAAAATGAGTTAAGAATTTCAAACTCTTTTAGACATATAATTTAGGGAAAAATTTTCATTTAACCTAACAATATAAATTTTGAATTATAAAAATTATGTAATTAAGTCTAAAGTTATATAATCTTTTAATAAAAATGTATTAATTCTAAAATTATGCAATTAACAAAGGTAATGAAAAAATTTTAAATTGGAATTAATTATTGTAAATAAGGAATGGTATAATTAACGAATTCCAACTTTTAGGAGATGAATTATCTATTTAACATGATTATAGGCAAATATAAAATGCCGTGCATGTCTTCTATTAGTTTTTTTTAATAACATGTTTGTAGGTTAAAGATCGCTATCGATCGCTATTACTGAGAAACGCAATTGTAGAACTGTAAACAAGAGAATGAACCTGGCTCAAGTGTTCCGTATGAAAGAAGGCACTTCAGAAACAAGCTACTCAAATAATTCTTTATTCCAGGTATTATATCAAATCTATTCAATCCTTTTCTAATTTTCCATTTGCAAGCATTTGCTTACGTTGTAAAATATAATACTATGTATATTTATTAATAAAATAATATACATAATCTATCTGATAGCAAAGGGCGGTTTCTTCAACAAAGCCTATAAGAGAGGAAGCTATAACTTACTTTTATAGAGAAACAATCCCTCAAAGCCTAGCAATTGTAGATTTGGGTTGTTCATCTGGACCAAACGCTTTCTTTGTCGCCTTCGATCTGATTGAAACCGTCGAGAAGCTTTGTAGAGAACTAAACCATGAATCCCCAGAATACATGATCTTCTTGAATGACCTGCCAAGCAACGACTTTAACACAATCTTCAAGTCTCTTGAAAGCATCAAGCAAAAGCTAAGTAAGGAAGTGGTTGGTAGGACTATTCCATGTTACATCAGCGGTGTTCCTGGTTCTTTTTATGGTCGGCTTTTCCCAACTAGATCTTTGCATTTTGTTCATTCCTCCTACAGTCTTCATTGGATGTCTCAGGTATCTATATTAGAAATTTTTATTTCTTTTAAATTGTATTGAGTAAGTAATGGTTGGCATTATTTTTAAGTTATGAGTAATCGGTGAATTTGATTGTTAATAATTGTAGGTTCCTAAGGGTGTAGAGAACAACAAGGGCAATGTTTACATGACAAGCACAAGCCTTTTAAATGTGTGCAATGCTTACTACCATCAATTTCAAAGTGATTTATCAATGTTTCTCAAGTGTCGTGCTCAAGAGCTTGTTGAAGGGGGCGTATGGTACTTACATTCTTGGGAAGGAGTAATGACGATTGATCAATGAATAAATATTCCCACGTGTGGGACATTGTGGCTGAAGCACTTAATGAAATGGTCTTGGAGGTATGCCATCTTTTTAACTACACAACTTTCTTTGAAATGCAAACTTACTAAGAAGGGGAAAAAATGATAAAGATGCATGCATGATAGAGAATTTTTTTTTATCAATGTGTAATGCAGGGGATAATAAAGGAAGATCAAATGGATGCATTTAATGTTCCATTCTATAGCCCATCCTCATCTGAATTGAAATTGGAGGTTGAAAAAGAAAGTTCCTTCACCATTAATCGCTTAGAAGGAATTTGAAATAAGTTAGGAGGCTGCTTATGATGAGAAGTGTAACGGTAGTAAAGAATACCAAGTTACACTATTCATGAGAGCTGTGGTTGAACCTTTGCTTGTTAGCCACTTTGGAGAAGCTATAACAGACCATCTCTTTCGGCATTGCCAACAAATACTAACTCGTCGTATGTCCAAGGGAAATCTTGTGCATCTCAGTCTCTCAATATCTTTGACCAGAGCAAGTTGAAGAAGCAACATATATGTTTTTGTATAATTAATGATGAATAGACCATTTGTTAGTCTTATTTGTCCCTTTTGAGATTTTGTATGCTTGAATTTACAATAATTAATCCTACTGTTTTACTAAGATATTATATCTTAGTAATATTTCATAGAATGTGTATGATATGTTATAAAGCATTAACTCAGATGTTGATCAAACTAGTCAAAGACTAGCAAATAGGCTAATGAATATTTGTAAATTTAAATATTGGAATGCTCTCCAAAAAATAACTGGATTTTGTGTTGTGAAAATATAAGTATCGTCTTGTATGTATGATGTGTACATATTTGTAACTTTTTATGATTTAGTTTTAAAAATTAAATGGATTATAAGTTGACACTAGATATGACAAGCAATTATGGACATATACTTATCAACATTAGAACTTATAGTTAATAATAGGGTTAAAGTGCATTTTTATTTCTGAATTATTCTCTGAAAAACACTTAGTATTTTAAATTATTTGTCATAGTAATTTTACTCATAAAGTAATTAATGTTAACTATTAAGAATGCCAATTAAGATTTAAATCTAACAAAAACTGCCACTTGTCATGACAGATGGATCTGAGTTAAGGTGCATTTTTTGTTCTTAAACTGTTATCTAAGGAGCACCTAATGTTCTAAATTATTTGTATAAGTGGGCCATAATTAAAGATGATAGGAATGACTAATTGAGCGAAAGAGGTCCTACCTAATAATGCACTTCCACGTTATTTCTCTTTCTATCTCTTTGTAGTTTATCATTAAAGCTTCCATGGCTTCTTTCTAAACATTTGTAATTAAACCTTTTTAAATGTTCACAATGTCAAAATAAAATGTCTTAATGTGCTTTTATTTTCTCCAAACCGATGTTTAATATAAAGTACTACCTATGACTAGAGTCAGTAATTTACGTAGGCTGAGTTTATTCAAATCGGGTTTAAAATATTCTACTCTCTTTAAAAAGCCCATATAGTTAAGCCTTGCCTTAACTTTTTTCGATCGAGTTTGAGTTAGCCTATTGAGTTTGGCCAAAATCACCAGCTCTATATACATATAGAGCTGAAAATTCTAACGATCAAGCTTATTCAAGCCGGGTTTAAAGTATCATTCCTTATTAAAAAAGTCTATATAGACAAGCTCAACCCTAACTTTTTCGATCAGGTTCGGGCTAGTTCGTTAGGCTTGGGCAAATTACTGACTCTACTTATGGCCATCCATTATATTATGGCTGTGTTTATAGATAGACAGGGGAGTGCCATAGGTCTAGTGCCATGCTCTTCTTCTCTCCTCCTCTGTTCTGCCTAAGTATATTTTGTTAGTCTATGTTGTTCTATATGTCCCTATTAATTTTGTAGGACAAGTCTATTTAATCTTTAGAAGCTATCATGTAATCGATTTAGTGTGGTGGAATAGTTCTTAAAGACAATACCATTGGCACGACTTAAATTTTAAAACTACCAGCTAGTTGCAACACACAATTCATGTTTGGGTAAAAATCTTTTTTCTCTTTCCTTCCATTATAATCAAACCAAACAAGACAATGCTAGTTTAACTCAAGAATCTACTTTACCTCTATTTGGTTGGGAGGACGAATGGTAATTGAATGGAATACTTATTATTATTGGAAATTTGTTAGTTTGGTATTAAGTAGGTTAGGATGATATATGTATTTTTAATTTTAACTAAGTACAAACATATGTTAAAAAAACTAAAATATTAATCTTAATAAGAAAAAAGGACGCCTCCCCACCTTTTTTTTTGGGTGTAAGAAGTAGATTATATTAATGATTAATAAATAAACAGAAAGCCGACAATGACAACAAAAAAAAGGGCCAAGCCCAATCAACAAAAAGTTCACAAAGACCACAAAAAAATTGTCAAGCCCAAACAAAAAAAGCGAGAACTCAAAATGAATTTTAAAAACGCCAAGCCCAACCAACGAAATACTTATAAATTTTTTCACATTTTTTTCAAAATGTAACTGTTATCGATTTTCTCTCTTGGACTTAACTATTATTATAACTATACTTATATATATATATATATATATATTGTCATTAGTGACTGATATGAATACCATTAATTACACATTAATGAAGAAATGAGAATGTTGTCAATGAATGGAGAAGAATATCATAATGAAGAGATGAGAATGTGGTTAAGAGCAGATTAAAAATGTTTTTTAAGTCTAATAGAATGAACATAGTTACTGAACAAATCAGAAATAATAAATATGCTACTTAACTTTCAACAAACCTGGTAACTTCATTATTTTATATAAGGAATGGTGTAACGAATTCCAATTCTTAGAAAGACTTATCTATTTATCCGTGACCATTGGCTAAAGTTCATTTTTTCCCCTTATTGAGAAACGTAATTTTATAGTGAAAATATGAGAATGGACGTGGCTCAAGTATTGCCTATGAAAGGAGGCACTCCAGAAACAAGCTACTCACACAATTCTTTATTCCAGGTATATATTTCAAACTTTATTAATTAATTAACTTTATATTTTCTAGCATCCGTTATAAAATATAATACTATGTATGTCTACTAATAAAATAATATGCACAATATAATCAATGTTGATAGCAAAAGGTGATTTCTGCAACAAAGCCCATAAGAGAGGATGTTATAACTTGCTTCTATAGAGAAACAATCCCTCAAAACCAAGCCTTTGCAGATTTGGGCTGTTCATTTGGACCAAACACTTGCTTTGTCTCCTTCGATTTGATTGAAATTGTGGAGAAGCTTTGTAGAGACCTAAACCAAGAATCTCCAGAATACATGATCCTCTTGAATGACCTACCAAGCAATGACTTTAACATTATCTTCAAGTCTTTTGAAAGCTTTAAACAAAAGCTAAGTAAGGAAGTCATTGGTGGGGTTGGTTCATGCTACATCACCGATGTTCCTGGTTCTTTTAATGGCAAGATTTTCCCTACCATATCTTTGCATTTTGTTCATTCCTCCTACAATCTTCATTGGATATCTAAGATACATATATAAGTAATTTTATTTCTTCTAAGCTGTATTGAGTAATTAAATGTATGGTTGTCGGAATTAGACTAGAATGGCTGGTTCCCTATAGTTCAGTCTAGTCAACTATCACAATTGGAAGAAAAATGAACAAGTCAAAATTAATGAATAACTGTTCCAAAGATCCTTAGTAGAGATGAACTTTATAATGTTGAATATGAAAGCTTAAATCTTATTTGCTTCGGATGTGGTTGCTATGGTCACAACAAAAACTCTTGCCTGTATAACCCAAAAATCAAAGTTATAGAAAAGGAGAAGAACAAGGCTGAAGCTAACAACAGCGCCCAAGACCATTCACAAGGAAATACAGCTAGATAGCAGATAAATCAGTAAGAGAAGGCTTATAAAGGGTCATCGAGATCTTACCCATTGGAAGAAATCTACGAAGAATGGATAAAGTTTTGAAGACCAGCTTGAGCATGAAACTTGAAGAATCCAATGGGTAACAAGCAAAATCACCTAAATTGAGGATTTAACCAGCTAAACAGATCTTGATTTGATGTGTTAGCCAACCTAGAGCTCAGAGATAATGGCGAGACAAAGAATGCAGCTCCATTTAACGGTCTAGCGATGAGTCACACAGCTAAAACTATCAGGAAAGTATGGGTAAAGAAAGACTTGGTAGGAAATAAAGAGAAACTAAGGGGATGAGAAGGATATGGTGGCTAAAACAATCAAAGATGGCGAGAAAGCTCTTACGGATGAGAAACTATCATATTTGGTTGAAGGGAAGAAGGATTCTTGAGTTGGGCTCTATTTCACCCTCAAGAACTTTAATTTGGATGATGCTATTCATAATGGGTTACAGCAAAAGCAAACACATCCAAGGCCCTCTAAATGCATACACACGGTAATTAAAGGGAATAAAAGGAATTTGAGCTTTTTAAAAAAGCCTGTTACAGCAGACCAAAGCAAGTCCATTGAAATTAAAGCTACAGCTGAAAATTTTTTCTCTCCTGATCCTTGAGTTTGGACATAAGGGATGGAAGGGAATACTTCTAATGTCAATTTGATTTCTCCTCCTAATTCAACTAAGACTTGTGATACTAGCAAGCCTCTTGATCCTAGTAACTCCATCAACTTTGTTCCAGAAACTCAAATGAGCACTGATTCGGCCATGACTAATTAAAATCAATGCTTATGTGATAAAGATGATGAAGATGATATTTCTATTGATGGCAATGATGATGAAATCATTGATGATGACCTTTTAGATGAGGATTTTGATAATCTACACATTAGCAATGATCTAGAGGATAATGAATTCAGCGATAATGAGGATGAAGTCTAATCCTTTCTCTAGGTCTATTCCCTCCTTTATTATTATTTTTATGGATATTATTTGTTGAAATTGTACAGGTACTTGTGGTAAAAGCTTTCCTAGTCGCATCAGAGAAATTACTAATGCTTATAACACTCAAATCCTTATTTTAATTGAAGCTAAAGCAAGTGGTTCTAGAGCATGTATGATTGTTAAAAAATCAAGATTCTCTAATTGGATCCGTGTTGAAGCTACTGGATATGCTGGAGGTATTTGGATTCTTTAGAAAAATAATACTATTGAAATTGATTATATTTATTCCAACATTAAAATTCTTCTTTGTAAAGTTAATGTCTTATCTAATAATAATTCATACCTCTTATCTTGTGTTTATGGAGACCTTAACCTGTATAAATGTGTTGCTCTTTAGGATTCCATCACATCCCTTGCTCAAAATATTTTTGATCCTTAGCTTATTGTAGGTGATTTCAATACCTACCTTTCTTGTGAAGATAAATGTGGAGGTAATGGTCATAATCGGAGAGCTATGAAGCAATTTAAAGATTGTATCAATTCTTCCAATCTCCTTGATCTAATTTTTTTAAGGGATAAATCACTTGGAGAAAAGGAAATACTAAAGAATGACTTAATTGGGCCTTCTATAATGTGGAGTGGCATTTTAAATTCAACCAATCAACTGCTTATCATCTCCTCCAATATGGCTCCGACCATCGACCTATTAGAATCCAACTTGATAATAGGGTTCTTAACAACATAAAGGGCCTTTTTGTTGTCATGCTGCTTGGATGCTTGAAGATTCCTTTCACTCGATAATCAAGGAATCTTGGAAAAATAATGATTGGAATGAAGGAAGAATTAAATTTATTGATTCTGTATCCTTATAGAATAAAAACAATATCGGTAGCATACCCACAAAAAAAGAAAAGGATCCTTCACAGATTGGAAGGAATAGATCGTCAGAGGAATTATAATGATAATTACTTCCTTAGAAAACTTGAAAAATCTTTATGGGATGAATTTAACAAGGTTATTTTGCAGGAGGAGCTGCTATGGTTTTAAAAATCTAGATGCAAATGGTTAAATTAGGGTGATTGGAATACTAAATACTTTCATGCCACCTTTATCATCAAAAGGAAAAGAAATCAAATCTTATCTTTCAAATTCGATAATGATACTTGGATTCAGGATCCGACTACTTTAAAGAGTATGGATATCACTTATTTTGAAAATCTCTTCAAGGAAGATGCTCTTGTTAAACACAATCTCATCACTGACAAGAGATTTCCACCTCTGTCTACTTTACAACTACATGCTATCCATAGGGAGGTTACCGAGGAGGAAATCAAGACTGTGACTTTCAATAATAGAGCCTACAAAGCCCCTAGTCCAGATGCTAACAATGCCAATTTCATCTATACCTATTAGAATGACCTTAAAACCAGCATTGTCAAATTCATTAAAAAGGTCTTCATCAATATGAACACCATTAGTGAGATAAATGATACCTTTATTACTCTCATCCCTAAAATCGATAACCCTACTTGTATGAAGGACTTCCGACCTATATCTCTCTGTAATGTTAGCTATGAAATCATAACCAAGATTCTATCCAATTGTTTTTGTTAATGCATAAACACTCTTATTAGGGATTCTCAATGCAGCTTCATCCAAGGTCGACAAAGTAATGATAACATCATTATTGCTTAAGAAATTATTCACTTAATGAGGAATAAGAACAAAAAGAAGGGTTTTATGGCTCTTAAAGTTGACCTTGAGAAAGCTCTTGATAAACTCTCTTGGGACTTCATTGATGACACTCTTCATTCCATTAGTTTGAATAATCATTTTAGGAAATTAATTAGAGCTGCCATCTCTACTTCTCATATGAGGGTTCTTTGGAATGGTGAATCAACAAGTGAATTTGTACCCTCTCGTGGCATAAGACAAGGAGACCCTTTATCTCCTTATTTATTTGTCCTTTGCATTGAATGTCTTAGTCACTGTATTATTAGTTTCATTGATAAAAATAAGTGAAAGTCAATTAGACTAACAACTAATGGGCCTCCTATTTTCCATTTATTTTTCATTAATGATTTGTTACTCTTTGCAAAGGTATCTATTAACTAAGCTAGGATAATTCAACAATATCTCTCATATTTTTGTAATGCATCCAGCTAAAAAGTTAACATTGAAAAATCTAAGCTCTTCTATTCTAGGAATGTCAATTTTAATAAGGCTTATTAGATTAGCACTGAATTAGGAATTTCCCTCATGGGTAATCTTGGCAAATATCTAGGAATTCTTTTAATCCATGAAAGAGCTTCTAAATTCACCTTTGCTCCTTTGCTTGATAAAGCTTGCTCTCGCCTTGCCAACTGGAGAAGTCAGTTTCTTAACACCACTGGGAAAATTATCCTCATTAATTTTGTCCTTTTGGCAATTCCTAAATATGACATGCAGACCATGCTATTGCCAAACAAGGTTATAGCGAAATTGGAAAAAAATTTGAGAAATTTTCTCTGAGACTCCTCTGATGGGCACAAAAAACCTCATCTTATCTCTTGGGATTGTATTACTATAGAAAAATCTTTTGGGGGTCTTGGCATAAAAAATCTTAAGATCCAAAACATCACCTTCATCATGAAACTTTATTGGGATCTTATCACTCAACCTAATCGTCTTTGGGTCAAGATTCTTTGTGATAAATACAAATGTAATAACCCCACTATTCCTATGGTTTACAAACCGAGCTCCTCATCTTTTACTTGGAATAGTATTTGTAAAGTTTGGGATAAATTCATGGCATATGTCGGTTGAAAAATTGATAAGGGAGACCAAACCTCTTTCTGGTATAATAAGTGGTCCCCTCTTTCAGAATCTCTTGTTAAATAAGCCTACCCTAGTGCAGAGGCCATCCTTCATGCTCGAGTTTCTAATCCTCGCAACTCTGCTGGGGGATAGAATTTTGGCCTTCTTAATCATCACCTTCCCCCTGAGGTGATAAGACTCATTATGCTGGTTAGACCATCCAATCCCTCTGGAGATGATGATGTCATTGTCTGGAGACCTTCCTCTAATGGAAACTTCACCATCAAATCTACTCATAAGGTTATGGTTTCTCAAAAGGATCATAACAATTCTGACATTTGGGCAAGGATTTGGAAGTAGCCTACTCATGAAAAATTAAGTACTTTCTTTAGAAGGCCGTTTGGGACAGACTTCAACTCAAATCTCTTTATACTGAAGGGAGTGCCCCTCTTCAACGAACTTGCTTTTTCGAATGAAACTCTCTTGATTCCTCAATTCATATTCTACGACATTGCATAGAAGCCTGTAATGTTTGGATTAAACTGGTGAAAACTTTTAAGCTTAATACTTTTTCTCCCTTTCTGTGCAGGATTGGATAATTTGAAACATGAAAGTTAAGGCAGGAAATCTTAACACAAGAAAAATCCATTGGCAGAGGCTTTTTGCTCAAGTTTGCTAGAACATTTGGAAGACACGTTGCAAAAAAATATATTCCAAAGAAACCATTCAGAATGTCGATATTGCTTTCTCTACTACCCAGCAAATCTCCAACAACATAAGGCTTCAATCTAGAGTTAATCTTCTCAGTCGTGATTGTAGAAGATTAGAGGCATGATGGACACCCCTAGAAATAGGTTGGATTCGCCTTGACATTGACGGGGCATTAGAGCTGCTACTTGTGGTGGAATCACATGAGATGATAAAGGCAATTAGATCAAAGAATTCTCCAAATATCTCGGTTATCAACCAAGCACCACAGTGGAACTCTTGGGCATTTTAGAAGGACTTCAGCTTTATTGGAATGCTCAATTTAGTAAAGTCAATATATACTCTGATTCTGCTTAAGCACTCTCACTTATCCAACATAATTTCCCTGACAATCATCATCTCTCTAGTCTTATCAACAAAGTTAGGAAATTGGTCACGAAAGATTTGATCATTATCTTCGACCACACGTTTAGGGAAGCAAACAGATGTTCGGACATGCTCGCTCACCAAGCCTCTCAAGAAAATATAGATCTTACTATTTATGATCATTCACCCCCAGGTTGTAGGTCCCTTATGGAATCTAATATGACCTGATTTTGTTCACCTTTTACACGGGTTTCTCGTGTCCTTGTATTAAAAAAGATCAATGAATAACTTGTCAAAAATGGTTTTTCATTTTTTTTTAAAATGTCTTGAAAACCTAAGACTACACTATTTTTGTTTGTACTGTGATTTATTTTTCTATAGTGTTATATATGACATCCCAAATTTTATACATAAAATTTAGGTAAGTTTGAATATGATTTATTAAGTAACTTGGGGTTTAGAGTAATTTAATTTAGTTATATGAGGTAAAGAAACAAATAAGATTGTGATTTAATGAAATTGGAAGAAAAAAATCTTTATTAAGGTAAATTAATTCTAATTTTAGTTAAAGCATCAAATTATTACTTTATGATGAAGAAGTATAAAATTAAAAGAAGTAAATATTTATTAGCATTGATTGAATGTAATGGAATTTGTGCATGTTAATGAAATTTATCATGTAATTATTTTCCCTATATATTTTAAGCAGGAATTAAATAAAAATATGTAAATTATGTCATATTTGAAAAATTATAATTATGTAAATATTTAAGGAATAATGTTTGAGCAAAATGTACAGGTAGATTTTAATTTTTGAGAAGTCAAGAGAGCCTTGGAAAAATTATATAATATATATAATTTTTTTAAAGATTGATGGGAAAAGAAAATAGGAAAGAAGAAGATAGAGGGAGGGGGGGGGGGTGGGGGATGGTGCTAAGCACGTGGGTCTTGGCCCACTTGCATATTCTTTTAAATATTTGTTATGCAGGCGCACACAGCCATTTTCCCATCCTTTCATCTTTTTCTCTGTATAAATTTTCTAAACATTTTTTCAGGGTTCGATAAATTTCAAACGTTTGGATATTTTTACTGACTATTTAAATTTTTATGGAGCTAATAATATAAAAGAGAGAGTTTATATAATTTAGATTTTATTCAATTAGTTGATTTGAGGAATTAAAGTGAGAGTTTAGTTGGAATATTTATGATTTATGATTTTGGTAATGTTATATTTCAAATTTAATGATTTATTTTGAGTTAATGAAGGTTATAGTAATTATTAAATGGATTGATCTTGAGATTGATGATGAAATGTGAATATTAATGACTTTGGTGGAAATTTTAAATGTTGGAATTTTGATATTTAAGATTATTTGAGTAAATTATTATTATTTAATGACTATAATGAGTGAAACGAGATCATTGAGTTATAGGATGGAGAAGTTTATTTGTGATAGTAAATTAAAATGTTAAATAAAATAAGGTTTAAAGAAAATTAAGGTTTCTTTGTGATGATTATGAGTTTATTTGAGTTTAAAAAATATATTTGTAAGGTATTGAGATTTAAGTTAAGCCCTAGATTTTTGGAATCTATCAAGTGTGAAATTAATGCTTCCAAGAGGTTAATTATTATGTTAATGGGAGATTAAATGAGTGTATTAACAATAAGTTAATAGTAGAGATGATCAAAATAGACTGACCTGGTGCCTGCACTCTTCGTGCTGTGGATAATTCATATGGCATTATGAGTGTTCTAAGATATCAAAATTTTTAACTATTTGTTGTTAATGTCAATAAACTGTAATTTTTTAAATTCAATGAAATGAGAACTATTAAATTCATTATAACAAGTTCTAACATATTCTTATATATTTATTCGTTTAAGAATATCAAGTGTTTTTGAAAAAAAAAATTGTTAGAATATTTTTATCCTTTATTCATAAGTTGCTAAAACTTTGATTTGTAAGTGTTCAAGCAATGCATTTTGGTTGAAATCATTGTGAGATATTGTGTACTATTTTATTTTTATTTATAAAAAAATTATCACTTTTTATTTATTTTTTATATAAATAAAATTATATATTTCAATAAATATTTATTATATTTTTAAATTATTCATCAAAGTTTATATTAATAAAAAATAATTAATGTATATTAATATTTTTTAACACAATATATTTTAATTTTAATTTTTTATTTTTAAATATAATTATTATAATTAATTAATTTTTTTAAATTATGTGATATAATTGTTTTTTATATATAAAAATGAAGTGAGTGCTTTATATGGATCTACGTTAATGCAGACAGCTCGGAAAACAATGTGTCGTGGTCCACGTGAAGATGCATCGTTTTTGGAGAAGACGCATAATTATTAAATTTAAGGAGACTCCCGTCCAAAAATTATTTAAATAAATTATTCACTGATAAAAATTAATAATGAGTTTTATTTTAAAAAAATTAAATTTTTATTTTAATAATAATTTATTTTATATTGATCCTTACTTGTGAGTAATTTTTTTAAATAATTATTGAATGTGATTCTTTCTTAAATTTATAAGGAAACTCTAATAAAAAAATATAAATTAAGATTTAATTTTTAACAACATATGCATATTTTTACAAGATAATATTTAATATAAAATTGATAAGCTTTTATTGCAATAAATTCCTCTAAGATAGCTTTAAATGTCATTCACCCATTAAAAATAGTCAAAACTTTATGAAAAAAATTAATCATTTAATTACTTTAGTTTTGATTAAGTTATAACTCAATTCTTAAATTTTGACTTGTTATAACTTAGTTTTTAAAATTTTAACTTTATTATAATTCAATCCTTGAACTTTAATTCTTACAACTCAATCTTTATAATTTTAATCATTTTAAAATATAGGAATCACTATTTAAATAGTTAAAACTATAGGAACTGAGTTGCAAGATATAAAGTTTAGGGACTAAGTTATAATCAAATTAAAACTATAAAGACTGAGTTACAATGAGTCAAAGTTTAGGGATTGAGTTACAATTAAGTCAAAACTATATGAACTAAATGATTAATTTTTTTAAACTTTGTTAAATATTACTTCATTCGTCTCAAATTATAAAATAATTTTGGTAGAGATTCAGTGTCACAAGATATAAAAAAACTTTAAGAAGATCAATGTTTCATTAAATATACTTATTCTAATATTATCATATATCTCTCTATTTAATTCTCATTTTGCTTTTTCTTTTTAATATATTAAATGAATGATATTTTGAAAGTTTTTACTTGTATTTTTTTAAAAAATAAGATTATTTAGTATATTTAATGAAGTTTATTAATATGTAAATTTTTTAAAAATGTCTTATAATTTAGGAGAAAATGAGTAATTTTTTACCAGCTTTATTAAATTATAATTAAAATAATATTTTTTTTACAAATTGAAATAATCATTTAAATATTTAACACTACACTCTGCACATGAGAAGCAACCGAGAAGAGTCTCCCTCGTTCGTTTTTTTCTTTTGGATCTGCGTCTCCTTATGTCCTTATATCCCTCACTCTCCATGAATTAAATCTCTGCAACATCTTCAGATCAATCAAAAAAGAAGACGACGACATTCGAAAGTCTCTCAAGTTCTTGACTATCAGCCCTATCTCGAGTCTCAATCCTTCAATCCTAGTCCATGTGAGGTTCTATTCTCTACCACTACCTTTTTTTTTTTTTTGGCTCTGTACTTTTTCGATCCTTCTATTTATGAGCTGTTCTTAATGGATGCTATATCTTATTTTTTTAAAAAAAAAAAAAATAGAAACTGAATACCATTAAAACACTTACAGAATGTCAACAAAACAGGGGAAAAAAGCAAAGCGAAACTCTTCCGTCACCTTCCATCATTAAATTAGGAGATGGATGATGGTCGAAGAGATAAAAGCTACTATTCATATTATGTGAAAAACTAGCAAAAAGGTAAGTATATATCCCTATTTTGTTCTAAGATATTTTTTTGGTCTTATTTGTAAGTCACTTTTAACATGTTTCATCAAAATTTAAAAAAATTTAAAATTTCATTAACTTTATCTTAAAATTTAATAAGTTTTCAATTTTACCCATAAAAAATATTCTTAAATCTCAATACTAATATTTTTATTCAAAGCATTTAATAATGACAAAATGTAAAGAGAAGCATTGAGAATTAACAAGTGTCCTATAAATATAATTAATTTTTTCTTTTCTCTTTGCCTTATAAATAAAACCAGAGGAATATCTCATGAAATTTTCCTTGTGTAAACTTGACCTACTTCATGTTTCAAGTTCAGTTTGATCCATAAACACCCTACAGAGAAAAGAAATCAAAGTCCCCTAAGCATCATCTATGAGGACAAATTTCTAGCAATTCAAGGCATTAGCATAGTCTCAAAGAAGGTGCACCAAGTCCTCTCCTTGGTTACACCCCACTAGATACCTGTCATTGGCTTGGATTCCTCTTTGGTTTTGGAGAGCCATATATACATATATATAGTATGAGCTCTTTCATGTGTAAATAGCCACATAAAAGAATTAATTTTATGACCATCTCAAGGTGTTTGGTTCGTTCATAAAACACATTATTGTGAATAATATTGATCACAACTTCTCTGTTACAATAGATATTTGTGGAGAAGTTTTAAGATGCTTTCAGCTTATTAAGTAACTACAAAGCCAAAGTATCTTAGCAGTCATGTTTGCTAATGAACGGTATTTTAATTTAACACTAGAGCAAGAGGCTAACATCTACTTCTTACTTCTTCGAGATAAGGGAGTGATCGAGGAAGATATAGAAACCATTCATAGACTGTTAATCATCACTATATATCATTGACCCAATCAACATCAAAGCAAGCCCAAAGTGCAAGAGAGAAGCTGGCAGATAAGTGAAGCTCATGATGTAGAGGGATGACTTTAATATACCAAATGATTTAAAGAACTCTTGCATAATGAGTTGTTTAAGGTTCTGACATAAACTAGATGACAATGTGGATTGTTGAAGCAATGTCAGGATGAGTTATCGTAAAATAGATAAGGCCCCCAACCAACTAGCGATAACATGTAGGATTATCCAACAAGGCGCCATTAATGGAAGTGAATTGAATATTCGGCTCAATAGAAGTGTTTTCAACTTCCTCATCAAAAAGGTGAACTTAGGATATCAAATCGATGGCATACTTGACTTGAGAAAAAGATATACTATCACTTCTATGGTGGAACTCAAGCCCAAGAAAATAGTTTAGTCTTTTAAGATCCTTATTTCAAATTGCTAGCCCAAGTATGTCTTGAGCTCTTAGACTCCCACATAATCACTCCTGTAATAATCATGTGATCAACATACGACAACAATAGAACAATGCCATGAGCAATAGAGCTAACAAAAAGAGCTAAGTAGTGAAGATTACAAGAGAAACCTAGTTGACTCATAGTGTTATTGAACTTAGCAAATCATGCACATTGAGCCTGTTTGAGCCCATATAAAGCCCAATAAAGATGACATACCTTGTCTTTTGAATGCTAATACTCAGATGGAGGCTTCATATATACTTCTTCCCCTACATCTCTAATTAGAAAGGCATTTTTAACATCAATTTAATGAAAAAGCTAGTGCTTAATAGTAGCAATGACCAGAATGTTATGAACAAAAGTCATATAGGCAATAAGTGCAAAAGTCTCTTTACAATTAACACCATACTCTTGAGTAAATCCTTAGTCCACAAAGCGAGCCTTACATTGCTTCAAAGAGCCATTATAACGAGTATTATTCTTGTAGACCTATCGACACCCAATTAGAGTTTTAGTAGGAGGAAGATCAACAAGATCCCAAGTAAGCATTTTCTTTAAGGCCTGCAATTCTTTATCCATAGCTTGCTATCAGAAGAGGTCACGAGAGGCTTCCTTAAAGGATTTAGGTTCCTTAAATTAGAGAATAGTGAAAAAATAATGGTAATCATTAAGGTAAAAGGGAGGATTTCTTACATGTATGGTTCCAAAAACTATAATTGAGAGGATAACCATAGAGACTCTAAAAAAGATAAATGTTACCAATGAAAAAAAAAAAAGAAAGTCAATTAATGCAAAAGACGAAGGTTAAGGTTGCTTCACCCTTAAAGTAGATCAATACCATAAAAGTTATCAGAGACAAGAGAGATAAACTAGAGATGGAAAATGCCATATCTATTATTATTGTGAAGAAAACAATATAAATATAAGGAGAAAGAGACAACCTAATAGTGACTATTTACAACAATATCATATTAATTAATACCTCTCAATAATGGCATTATAAATAGTAAAATATCCTTAGAATATTCTGGATAACAATTGCTAACTTAAAAATTATTTTAAGATGAATAATAAAACTAAAATAATATAAAATATCAATAATAATCATAAAATAAGATTATACTTGAAATATATTATTATAAAAAATTATTCTTTACTTAAAAAATAAAAAATACATATATGTTCAGGCCGAGCTAGGTAGGGTTGGGTGAAACTTGACCCCAGCTCAATGTATGACCCCACAAGCATATCGGGCAATTGGGCCACTTAAGCAGCCTTAACGAAGTTAATGAAATTTAAAGTTATTTTTTAAAATTTTGATGAAATACATTTGAAGTAACTTATAAATAAGATCAGGAAAGTAAGAGCTCATGGCTCTTGAATCCAAATTGTTTTTGATGAATTAAAAAGAGCATCATTAACGAACAAATAATTTCATAATTAAAAAATGGATAAAAACAAAGTTAATGAACAATAATTAAGAATAACAGTAATGAATGATAAGAACATTATTAATGAAAATATAACATCCATTAATAAATGGATAAGAACAACATTAGTAAAGAAAGAAATATGTTGCTCAATTTTCAAATCTTGTCACTTATTTTATATAAGGAAATGAGGTAACGAATTCCTAGGAAGAATTTAAATTTATCTATTATCTATTTAACATGATTGCAGGCTAAAGGCAAAAATAATGATGTCTTCTTTCTATCTTTTTGCATTTTTATAACATGTATGTGGGTTATGTTGGAATATTTATTTATGAATTTATATTAATTAATAAGTCCAAACATATTGATTTTTATAATCTTGTGTGAACTATAATAGGTAGTTCACACAAGTGAGCCTAATGAGCAAAGGCCCAACCTACAACCTAGTAGTCATCAATTATTCTCTATCTCTCAACTAACTAAGTCAGAGATAATAAAATATAATTAATTAATTATTTAATAAAGCGGTTATTGATATGATTTTTATATGTCAATCAGTCGATAACCACAAAATACATGATAACTTTTATTTTATTCTATTATCTTTGCACTCTCTAAAAACTATGGGTGTCTAATGAGTTATGCATCTGTTTATACTCGAGGTAATTGAGGTATTTTAAAGTAATTATGGATTATTTAGATACACACACATTACTCTACTCAATCTTATTTGATACATGAATTGAAATATATAGGTAACAGGTTAAAGATCACTATTGTATATATTAATCCCTTTTATTGATTAGGAACATAACTGTAGAGTGTAAGAAAGAATGGATGTGACTCAAGTGTTGCATATGAAAGGAGGCACGTCACATCTTGCAATTTTATACATGAGTATTGATATGTTTGTATCGAAACTTATGAGTTAGGTAGTCACTTTTGTAATAAATCAAAGAATATTTAAGGACCTTTTAATCTTAGAAGAGGAATGCTAAGTTACAAAGGGCAAGTTATAAGGACTATAAGGAAAAGAAAATTTTTAGGATTAAAATGCAAAATATTTTATACTTAGATTTTACCTTTTATTTTAACGTGAATTATTAGACAACTTGATTAGAAATAAAAATTATTTAAAATTCTTTAGATACGTGGTCATAACATCTATTGGAATATATTTTACTGTACAATTATCTTAAAAAAATTAAAAATTAGGAGAAGAATTTAGTAACTTGTCTACATTAGAAAAAATTAATTGCCATCTAAAAGTTACCTAGGCTCCTTAATTGATAATATAAAATTTTAATTAACCTTATACTCTATCCAATTTGATTAGAGAGTATTAATCTTCTTAGTTAATTATAATAATTCGGATTTTTGGAGGATGAATAAAATATCAATTAAATTGCAATAGTACACTAATTGCTTTTATAGAATTATTTGTCTCACTAATTTTCTCTTAGTTATATTTTTATTTGTTAACCATTTCCTTTCGTTTAATTTTGGTTACTACATATTATATATATATATATATATATATATCAAAGTGAGAAGAGTTTTATTTAACTCGAGAATATAATAATTATACTAAAATCTTTTAAGTTTCAATAACAAACATTTTATTGGGATTTGGCTGTTATTTGCATTTTAGTTGTTATATTCCTATTTTTCTTTTCTAGATTATTTTAAATTATAATTTATTAACATGTGTCATGCTAATGAAAAAGGGTTGCAATGCAATTAGAGAGAGATAAGGTGTCAAAACAAGCAATAATTAAATTAGCATGTATTTTCCCTTAAACTCACTTGCATATTGTGCCGTCGCTTTCCATGATTTAATTTCATTTAAGTTAAATTCCCTTGACTTGCAATTCCTTTGTTCCTATTGTGCTCTAACTTCTCTCTTTATTCCTTAATTAGTCTAAATGATATATTTTAGCCAGTAAATATAAAGTTTGTCAAGACTTGGGGGGGGGGGATTATTATCTAGGTAGCGGGATTAGAAACATTAGTGGCAAAAACACGGATAGGTGGCACATTCTCAATACTCCCACTGATTAATCATCTTTTTCCTTGATCCCTAAACATATTTCATTATTGTGGTACTAGTCATATAAGTACCCTACTTCCTCCTTTCATTTGATTAATTAAATAAGCAATTATTAATATAAAAACACTAGGTGTCAAATTGTCATTGAGGGTGGCAATAATATGAGATTAGGTGGAAAATTTTTGTTGCTCCCAGAGATGACTCATCTTGTCTCTCCATTTTATTTGCCTATTTTATTAGCTTTCATTTCCATGGCTTTCGGTGAATCAATTTCACCGCCTTCATTTATTTAATTTCAATATCAATCGCCTCGTTATGTACCGCCATTCACCCTCTATAAATAGCCTACTTGTTGTCATCTATTTCTCATTCCCCTCCCCTCTTATATGTCAAGCCAGCAAGTGTTGAATGCCAACACTTTTCCCTTCACTTGAGTAGATTTCCAAGTTTGAGGAAGCAAGTTAAATACTTGTAAGTCAAAAATAACAGGTAGCAATACTACCCCTTCTTATACATGTTTATTGCTTGACTGTATTGTTTCTTGTATATAATTTTAAGTGATGCATAATTATGTTTCTTGAATTGATTAGAACATGATTGATGTTGATTATTCTTTGGCATGAGTTAATTGTAGTTAGGGGTTAGGGCATGGCGTTCCTTCCCTAATTAAAAGGGTTTCAGGGCATGGTGTTCCTTCCCCATTAGCTAGGGATTGTGAGAAAGGGCATGGTGTTCCTCCTCACATGTGTTATTGGCCAATAATGTTGCATTGTATATGCTTCCAATTTCAATTCAAATTTATGTGGTTTAGATATGTTGCTAGCTTGTAATTACTACTTAAGCAATTTTCATGTATGATTCAAAATGATTTCCCATTGCTACTGGGATTTCACTCTGAAATCTCACCCTTGCATAATTAACGTCCACAAGTACTGGCACAAGCAGGAGCAAAGATAAGGAAGTCATAAATTAAACAAACTTCAAGTGAAATATTACAGAATGCCCTAGTCATTTTGTTGTGCTTGTAATACGTATGTCGTAATTTTATTAAAGTATGTATGTCTTAGGTAGGATAATGTAAAGACTTTGTAATAACATAATTATCTATCTGACGTATATGATTTATTAGTTAGAGGATAAAAGAAGGAAGTAAATTTGGATAATTTTTATTTATTTATTTATACGATCTAGAGCTAAAATGAGGTTATGGTATGGAAATATATGGTTTGACAAGGCACTACAGAAAAAAGCTACTCACACAAGTCTTTATTTCCGGTATATATCAAACTGTATTCATTAATCCTTTTGAAACATATTCCATTTGCATGCATTATTGCTTTCATTATATTATAAAATATAATGCTATGTATGCTTACTGATAATTATACGCAATCAAAATGTGACAGCAAAGGGGGGCGGTTTTTTCAACAAAGCCCATAAGAGACAAAGTTATAGCCTCCTTCAATATAGAAATAGGGGTGGAAATAGGACAGGCCTTTAAAGACCTACTTCAAGTTTAACTTAACAGGTCAGACTTAAGATCTTTAATTAAGCCTATTTAATTAAATCGGTTAGGTTTATTTTTTAAGGCCTAACATACGAGCTCAACAGGCCAGCTTATTTATATATATTATGTACTTTATCACAAATACATTATTTTCACTATATGATTTTTAATTAATTTACTCTTTACTTCTTCTAGTTATATTTTCAATCATATTTGACTTATATATTAATTTTAATATTGTTACTTTATTGTTATATTATTTTATAGTTAGTAAGTCCTTTTAATTATTATATATTGTAATTGATAAACTAGGTTATATATTGTATATTATAATAGTCCTAAAATATTTTTGAGATGTTTAAAACTAAAATGCGACCTTATTTAAAAGGTTTTATTTTTAAGTAGCTTTTTAAATAAGCTTGCAAGCCATGCCATGTTTTGAGTAGGCTCGGGTTTGAGTCATAAAAAAAAGTCTTATACAAGCTTCAGACTAGGCTCAGGCTTCTGATTTACCACATAAATTCAGGCCTATTTGATCTATCACAAATACATCAGTTTCATCATATGATTTTTAATCAATTTACTCTTTACTACTTCTAGTTATATTTTCAATCATATTTAACTTATATATTAATTTTAATATTGTTATTTCATTGTTATATTATATTGTAGCTAGTAAGTCCTTTCAATTCTTATAATTGATAAATTAGGTTATATATTGTATATCATAATAGCCCTAAAGTATATTTGAGATGTTTAAAACTGAAATGTGAGCATATTTAAAAAGCTTTATTTTTAAATAGGTTTCTAAATAGCCTTGCAGGCCAGTAGGCTCAGGTTTGAGCCATAAAAAAAGCCTTATACAGGTTTTTGATCAGGTTCAGGCCTCTGATTTACCACACAGACTTAGACATATTTGACCAAAGCCTAGCTCGGCCCAATCTATTTTCACCCTTACGAAGAAACAATCCCTAGAAGTATGGCCTTTCCGATTTGGGCTGTTCATCTAGACCAAATGCTTTTTGTGTCTCCTATGATTTGATTGAAACTGTGGAGAAGCTTTGTAGAGAACTAAACCATGAATCCCCAAAATACCATTAATTGCACATTAATGAAGAAATGAGGATGTTCAATGTTGTTAATGAATGGATAAGAATATCATAATGAAGAGATGACAATGTGGTTAAGAACAGATAAAATGGTTTTAATGAATGGATTAGAATGAATATCGTTACTGAACAAATAAGAACATAATTAACATATTACTAAATTACTAAATAAATAAAAACGTTTTTAATGAAGAAATAAATTTGTTACTTAATCACAAACCCTGTAACTTAATTGTATTAGATAAGGAATCGAGTAACGAATTTAACTCTTAATTAGAAGAATTATCTATTTATACATGACGATTGGCTATAAAGTTCATTTTTTTTTAATCCCTATTATTGTGACACGTAATTGTAGAAGTGAAAACATGAGAATGGACGTGGCTCAAGTGTTGCATATGAAAGGAGGCACTACAGAAACAAGCTACTCAAACAGTTCTTTATTCCAGGTATACATTCAAACTTTATTAATTAATTAATCATTTTCTAGCATTGTAATTGCATGCATTATATTATATTGCTTCCAATATAAAATATAATACTATGTGTGTCTACTAATAAAATAATATGCACAATAGCAAAAGGTGATTTCATCAACAAAGCCCATAAGAGAGGATGCTATAACTTGCTTCTGTAGAGAAACAAACCCTCGAAACCTAGCAATTGCAGATTTGGGCTGTGCCTCTGGACCAAACACTTTCTTCCTCTCCTTTGATTTGATTGAAACTGTGGAGAAGCTTTGCAGAGAACTAAACCAAGAAGCTCCAGAATACATGATCTTCTTGAATGACCTACCAAGCAACGACTTTAACACAATCTTTAAGTCTCTTGAAAGCTTTAAACAGAAGCTAAGTAAGGAAGTGGTTGGTGAGACTGGTCCATGCTACATCACTGGTGTTCCTGGTTCTTTTTATGGAAGGATTCTCCCTACTAAATATTTGCATTTTGTTCATTCCTCCTACAGTCTTCATTGGATGTCTCAGGTACATAAATAAGTGATTTTATTTCTTTTAAATTGTATTGAGTAATTTAATTCATGGCTGTCAGAATGTGATCGAACCGGATGGTTCAACCAAGAACTAGCATATGGTAGTCTGGTCAACCATCAGAGTCAGATGAAAAGCAAACGTAGGTGCAAAACCTATAAAATCTAGTAAAACCGTTTTTTTTTAATTCTTAATAACCCAAAACTATGCTATTTTGTGTTTTTATTTGTTTTGTGATTGGTTTTTCTTTGGTGTCATATATGATGACTCATTAGTTATTTTGGTTAATAATGGAAGCTTGTATTGGTTTGGTTGGTTAGACAATTAAAGCTAGTTTGTTTAAGCTTTTTTTTTTAATAAAAAATCACTTATTTTTTTGGAAAAATTATATAGCTTATGAGTTTTTATAATATTTGTTTAAACTTTTAAACAAAAATTATATTTTTAATTATTTTAAGAAATTACTTTAAGTAGCTTTGAAAAATAATCTAATATAATATATGTGAGAGAATGTTTTAAAAATGTGGTATCATAAAATTTTAAAATAATTAGATAATAAATTATTTTTATAAAATAGAAATCAAGAAAGATATTATAAAATTTAAAATAATTAACAAATAATTACTTTTTTTCATTTTTGCAATCAAAACAAAAAATAATATTTACTTTTTATACAATCTCTACAAAATAAATATCCTTTTATAAAATTTCTCAATTATTTAAAAGTCATAATCTTAAATAAAGGGGCCCATTTGAAATATTTGATAATTTAAGTATTTTGTAATGGACAATAAATACAATATTAATGCAATTTATTATAAATTTGGCATGATGTATGATAAGGATATGATAAATATTGTCTAAAAAATGCGGCATATAGGAAAATATCATAAAATTTTAAAATAATTAGATAATAAATTATTTTTATAAAATAGAAATCAAGAAAGATATTATAAAATTTAAAAATAATTAACAAATAATTACTTTTTTTCATTTTTGCAATCAAACAAAAAATAATTATTACTTTTTATACAATCTCTACAAATAAATATCCTTTTATAAAATTCTCAATTATTTAAAAGTCATAATCTTAAATAAAGGGGCCCATTTGAAATATTTGATAAATTTAAGTATTTTGTAATGGACAATAAATACAATATTAATGCAATTTTTATAAATTTGGCATGTATGATAAGGATATGATAAATATTGTCTAAAAAAT